ATGTAACTATATATTGAAGTAAAAGAGACAAGAGACATTAGTACCCATATTGGCTAAAATAAAAAAAAATGGACCAATAATTTTAAAGTTCCATTATTATTTTTGTACTCTGCCTAAGGGCGTTTTCACCTCATAAAAACTTAATTATCCCTCGATCTATATATACACATATGCAATAACTTATCTTTACAAAAATGTCAGGTGTAAAAGGAATCTAAAGTGATCAAAACAAATTTTGATAAATATAGCTATAATAAGCAGAAATCTAACAATTACAGCTAAAGAAGAAAACTCACAAAATTGCTCTCAGCAGCATTTTTTGTATGATATTTAATGGCTAGATTCCCATGGTTTGGCCTGCAAAAATCCAGATTTTCCCTCAATATCCCAGGTTTGAACAAATGCTAATCAAATGTACAAATATTTTATTACATTTTCTTACAACTGCATTTTTTTTTAAATTACTGTATATGTTTTTTTCTCTTGTATAAAACAATAACAATCTTACCTTTTGATGCCTGCAGGGTATCCTTCACAAAATCTTTCAGTTGTTTTGCCCTCTCATTTGTCCTTTCTGCATCTTTCCCAGTTTGTTCTCCATCTGCAGATACTTTTGCAGCCTGTCAATCATTTGAGAAAGAAAGGAAAACCAATTGTAGTAATAGGTTTTTCAGTGGCTGCAAAACTATTTTAGAAAGCAGCTCTCCGTTGACCTTTGCTTGTATATATACTTTCCTTCAGAGTCAAAAGAAATCAATATTTTATTGATCATATCAACTGGAAATTAAATATGATGCACAGGTTAGCAAATAAATTGCATTAGCTTCCCATTAACTAAATATAGGATGTTTTTTATTTCAACGTCAGCTTAGTGTTCTTGGTAAAAAATAGGGTAGGTAAGCTGCAGCCAGCTATTGAAAGATTATTTAAAGCACTAAGCAGATACCTTCAGAAAGAGGAAACAAATAGAATTAAGTTTAATTTGTCCATTGATCCACCGTATCTAGCATCGCCAGTGAGCCTTCTCCCTCAGGCATGTTTGCATGAAAGAATGGTTCATCTTGGTAAAACTTACTCTAGAAAGACATCCTAAATCGATAGTGAATTCTGATGAAAACATTTTTGCTTCCTTTAATCTACAGCCCACTGACTGAAAATAAAAGAACAGGCTTGCATCAACTTTAAAACAAAAACTACAGAAAGCTACCCTAATTCATATGTGCATAGTAACAGTTAATACATAAACATCTTACAAAAACAATTATTTAACCTACCAAATATTGCATACCGTAATAATCTGGTTAGATATTTAAACTAGCCAATTTAATTTACTACCAGGTCTGGAAACCGAATCACAACACTTATCTAAATGAAGAAAACAGCCAGACTATGTCCCCCTTCTACAATGGGCCTAAGTGACCACTTACATTTTTTTGTGGAAAGACCATCACTAGGGATGAGCTCAAGACATTCAGGTCAAAGATTTGATGTTTGACATTTTGTTTGGCAGTGTTTCTACTGCCACTATATATGACAGTCTCCCATCTGATAATAGTTGTTAAGGAACAACAACCAGGTGCCACAATCTGCCTTAGTGACATCATCCAGCTCAGTTGATTTACTGGTGGAGAATATCTGTTCATATAAACAAAAGGGCAGGAATAATGCTAACTAGGGATGAATTTAGGATTTGGTGGGAACACAAATTTGGACCGAAACTATACCGTTTAACCCCTTTTTAACTCTTAGTTTACTCTAATCAGCCCTAATTAACTCCTTATTCTTCTTCTCCATTCAATTATTATTTTCCCGCTGATTTTTTTTGTTCAATTCTATTTTATTAACATTTAATAATTAGACGTTTTGTTTGTTTTGTTCATTAATATTTTTACACATTTAACATATATTTACATGTACATATACAAAAAAAGTGCAACATTGAAAAAAAAACACTTTACTTCATTTGTAAATAACTTTGCAATGTTTTGTACCCAAACCATAATTTTAGTGTGATTTTAACCACTTTCTTGCCTGCCCACAGTACATTTTCTGCCACTACAGGCTAGATGATGTACCTGTACGTTGCTACACGTTTTCCAGCTTTTCGGATGCACATGCATGTACCCCTGGTGACCTGGTGATTGGACACAAATTTGTCAGCAGGCTTTAGCTAATGATTTTGGCTATATACTTGCTGATCGGCAGAGCCCAATCACAGCACAGAGCTCTGTGTTTACCAAAATACAGAACTCTGTACACAGAACAACAGAGATCTTGCTGTTTCTTCTCCCTGAACTCAATTCTTAGTTCAGGGAGAAAAAGCAACCAGATCTGTGAGTAAAAGCAGCACACATTACACTTGTTAGGCACACAATTAACCCCTTATTTTCCCTTGATTTTAACTCCATCCCAGCCACTGTCATTAGTACAGTGAACTGTATTATCACTGATCGCTGTATTGTCACTAATGACATCAGTCACAATATACAATAAGTAGCTGTAGCATCTGTAGCTGGGTAATTCCAGTATATATAATATAGTTTGTAGATGCTATAACTTTCACACAAACCAATTAACATACATTTATTGGGATTTTTTTTTACCAAAGACATGCAGCAGAATACATTTTGGCCTAAGTTTATGAAGAAATTAGATTTTACTAAATATATTTTATAAGAGAAAGTAGAATATCGTTTTTTTCCCCAAAATGTTTGGTCTTTTTTCATTTATATATTAAAAATAAATAAAAAAGTGGTAATTAAACACCACCAAGAGAAATCTCTATTTGTGTGAAAAACATTATTATAATTTTATTTGAGTACAGTGTTGCATGACCAAACAATTGCCAATTAAAGCAAGACCGTGCTGAATAGCAAAAAATGCCCTGGTCATAAAAGGGGTAAAACCCACCAGAGGTCAAGTGGCTAAATAGGACAAATGATAGAATAAACGGAGCACTTTTTATATCCAGTAGCACTAGCACTTATTTTTTAACCATTTCAAGTCCGGACACTTTCACCCCCTTCCTGTCCAGGCCCATTTTCAGCTTTCAGTGCTATCACACTTTGAATGACATTTGCATGGTCATGCAACTCTGTGCACGTATTAATTTTTTTTAGCATTTGTTTGAGACACATACAACTTTATTTTGGTGGTAGATATTCACCACTGGGATTTTTATTTTTTTTGCTATATAAATGAAACAACATTTTAAAAAAAAAAGTGTTTTCCTTATAAAATTTTGCAAATAAATAATCTTTCTTTATAAATCTTGGCCAAAATGTATTCAGCTATCTTTTCAGTAAAAAAAAATAACCCAATTTTGTTTATAACCAAAAATTATAATTTTTCAAAAATCTTTTTAAAATTTTTATTTTTTTATATTATGTATTTTTTTTTGCTTTTTTATTAACATACTGTCACCCCTAGCAGTACAGTGTCACCATAGTGACACTGTACTACTTGTGGGGGGTGGTGAAGATTTTTTTTTTTTACACTGATTGCTTTTACAACCATAAAGGCTGTAAAAACAATAATTTCTCCTTCTCCCTGGCTACATTCTTGCAGCCATTGAGAAATACTGTGTGAGCTGTGATTGGTCACAGCTTGTCACATGGTACAAGGCTGTTGTGAATAGCCTTGTACCATGTGAGCTCTGTGATTATTCACAGATTTCACAAGTAGTAAGCAATGATGTCAGAAGTGATCACATGATTGGGACCTCACACAGAGGTCCCGTACAGCGATCGATGTTCCGCTGTGTCCTCTGGACACAGCTGGTACCGGATCGTGATGCCGCACGCTCCCAGGGAGTGCGCACAGGCAGGGAAGCAGGAGGACTTTTATAAATGGCCACCCACCCCTGCACTGGTTAAATAGTGCTTTTAGTTTTGTTATGTTTTATTACCAAAGGATTGCGGAAATAAAATAATTGTTGCAAGACAATATTCACAAGAAGAAATACATGTATTACCTAGTTATCATAAGTAATGAAAAAGTTATTGTCAAATAAACAGGTTCATAGCAGAATTGTAAAAATTGGTCTGGTCCATAGGGGGTGAACAGATATGATGTCAGGAGCGCTCCTGTTCTTTCACAGCTGCTGGTCTTATTCCAGCACCCTGATTTTCGCTATGATGCATCACTGTCTGTCCTCCTGCAAGATGATTGATGTAGCCATGCTCTGGGTGGAGACCAAACTTGATTTATATGCCAGCCAAGCCTGCAGTCTCATGCTTGTGATATTGCATTTGTAACATGTGTTCCGAAGCTCCCTGTTTGTCTGCTCTGCTGATTGGATTTCCCTGTATGATCTCGGATCGGATATCGACTACTTTCTTAACTCTGCCTGTCTTTTGACTAATCCGACCCTAATTACCCTGAACCTTTCCTGCTCGCCTTGTACCTGGACTGCCATTGAACCACTCTGCCTGTCTGCCAATCCCAAGTACCTGTTTTGCTTTGCTCAGTTTGCACTCTTGCCCCGGTGTGGTAGCCAGGCAGTATAGCATTGTGTATAAATCCTGCGGCAACCAAGTACAAGTAGGCCTGCTTGTCTTATGGGATAGGGGGCTGCTAAAGGTGAAGAATACAGAAGCCAGCTATAGTGTCTGACCACCTGAGTCAGGGCATGGGGGGGAATGTTGTAAATGTCAGTTTGCTGTAGTAAGTGTAATACATTGTACAGGTGTGCCAATTCACAGATAGGGAAAAGGCATCCCTCAGGCATGTTATTTAAAGGAATTTAGCGGTTTCAATTTCTTATTAAAACATAATAACAATCATTCCTTCCCACCTAATAGATTTTTAAAAACATTTTTTTTTCTTTGATGCACGTTCCACGGGACAGTGCCCAACCCCCTAATGCCATTTGACCAGTAGTGTATTTTGGTTTTGTGCTGCCCTAGGCAAGACTAAAATCGGGAACCCCCCCACATCTAAATTTGCCCCACCCTTTTATCTGCAAACTCCACCCCTTCCTCTATAGGCTCCACCTCTTCCTATTAGAGCTCCGCATACTGACAATGATGGGGCGCTATTCCTCCCATTGACACTAATGATGGGGCACTATTCCTCCCATTGACCCTAATGATGGGGCACTATTCATCCCACTGACACCAAATGATGGGGCACTATTCCTCCCACTGACACACCAATGATGGGGCATTATTCCTCCCACTGACACCAATAATGGTGTCCCATCATTAGTGTCAGTGTGTGAGGAATAGTGCCCCATCCATTGGTATCAGTTGGGAGGAATAATGCCCCATCATTGGTTTTCAGTGGGAGGAATAGTGCCCCATAATTGGTGTCAGTGGGAGGGGAATAGTGCCCCATCATTGGTTTCAGTGGGAGGAATAGTTGCCCATCATTTGTTTCAGTGGGAAGGAATAGTTCCCCATCATTGGTGTCAGGGGGAGGAATAGTGCCCCATCATTGGTGTCAGGGGAGGAATAGTGCCCCCATCATTGGTGTCAGAGGAGAGGGAATAGTGCCCCATCATTGGTGTCAGTGGGAGGAATAGTGCCCCATCATTGGTGTCAGTGGGGAGGAATCGTGCCCCATTATTGGTTTCAGTGGGAGGAATAGTGCCCCATCATTGGTTTCAGTGGGAGGAATAGTGCCCCATCATTGGTGTCAGTGCAGTGGGAGGAATAGTGCCCCATCATTGGTATCAGTGGGAGGAATAGTGTGCCCCCATCATTGGTTTCAGTGGGAGGAATCATGTCCCCATCATTGATGTCAGTGGGAGGAATAGTGCCCCATCATTGGTGTCAGTGGGAGGAATCGTGCCCCATTATTGGTTCGAGTCAGTGGGAGGAATAGTGCCCCATCATTGGTGTCAGTGGGAGGAATAGTGCCCCATCATTGGTGTCAGTGCAGTGGGAGGAATAGTGCCCCATCATTGGTATCAGTGGGAGGAATAGTGCCCCCATCATTGGTTTCAGTGGAGAGGAATCAATGCCCCATCATTGGATGTCAGAGGGAGGAATAGTGCCCCATCATTGGTATCAGTGGGAGGAATATTGCCCCGTCATTGGTGTCAGTGGGGGAGGAATAGTGCCCCGTCATTGGTGTCAGGGGGAGGAATCGTGCCCCGTCATTGGTGTCAGGGGGGGAGGAACCGTGCCCCATCATTGGTGTCAGTGGGAGGAATACCGTGCCCCGTCATTGGTGTCAGGGGGGTTAGGAACCGTGCCCCATCATTGGTGTCAGTGGGGAGGAACAGTGCCCCGTCATTGGTGTCAGTGGGAGGAATCGTGCCCCGTCATTGGTGTCAGTTGGGAGGAATCGTGCCCCATCATTGGTGTCAGTGGGAAGGAATAGTGCCCCGTCAGTGGGGGAAGTGGGTAGGAATAGTGTTGCCCCATCGTTGGTGTCAGTTTAGGGGGGATAGTGTCCCAACATTGGGTGTCAGTGGGGGGGGGATAGCTGTCCCGATCATTGGTGTCAGTGGGGGGGGGATAGTGTCCCAACATTTTGGTGTCAGTGGGAGGAATAGTGCCCCAATCATTGGTTGTCAGTGGGGGAGGAAATAGTGCCCCATCATGCATTGGTGTCAGTGGGGAGATGAATAGTGCCCCATCGTTGGTGTCAGTGGGGGAGGAATGAAGTGCCCCATCGTTGGTGTCAGTGGGGGGAGGAATTAGGATTATCACATTGCCCCTTATCATTGGTGTCAGTGGGGGGAGGAATAGTTTGCTCCTATCATTGGTGTCAGGGGGGGAATAGTGCCCCATCGATTTGGTGTCAATAAGGGGTGAAATTAGTGCCCCATCGTGGTGTCAATAAGGGGTGAAATAGTGCCCATCGTTTAGGTGTCAATAGGTGGGAAATAGTGCCCCATCGTTGGGGTCAGTAAGGGGAGGAATAGTGCCCCACCTCATTGGGTGTCAGTGGGAGGAATCGTGCCCCGTCATTGGTGTCAGTGGGAGGAATAGTGCCCCGTCATTGTTATCAGTGGGGGAGGAATCATGCCCCATCATTGGTGTCAGTGGGAGGAATCGTGCCCCGTCATTGGTGTCTGGGGGAGGAACCGTGCCCCGTCATTGGTGTCAGGGGAGGAATAGTGCCCGTCATTGGTGTCAGTGGGAGGAATCGTGCCCCGTCATTGGTGTCAGTGGGAGGAATCGTGCCCCATCATTGGTGTCAGTTGGAGGAATATTGCCCCGTCAGTGGGGGGGAGGGGGAAGAAGTGGAATAGTGTTCCATCGTTTGGTGTCAGTGAGGGGGGGGAAGAGTGCACCCATCATTGGTGTCAGTGGGGGGTAGAATAGTGCCCCATCATTGATATCAGTGTGGGAGGGGGATTGTGTCCCGTCATTGGTGTCAGTGGGGGGTGATAGTGTCCCAACATTGGTGTCAGTAGGGGGGGATAGTGTCCCAACATTGGTGTCAGTGGGGGGGATAGTGTCCCAACATTGGTGTCAGTGGGAGGAATAGTTGCCCCATCGTTGGTGGCTCAGTGGGGGGAGGAATAGCGCCCCATCGTTGGTGTCAGTGGGGGGAGGATAGTGCCCCATCAATTGGTGTCAGGGGAGGAATAGTGCCCCAACATTGGTGTCAGGGGAGGAATAGTGCCCCATCCATTGGTGTCAGGGGGAGGAATAGTGCCCCATCATTGGTGTCAGGGGAAGGAATAGTGCCCCATCATTGGTGTCACAGGGAAGAATAGTGCCCCATCATTGGTGTCAGTGGGAGGAATCGTGCCCCATTATTGGTTTCAGTGGGAGGAATAGTGCCCCATCATTGGTTTACGAGTGGGAGGAATAGTGCCCCATCATTGGTGTCAGTGCAGTGGGAGGAATAGTGCCCTATCATTGGTATCAGTGTGGAGGAATAGTGCCCCATCATTGGTTTCAGTGGGAGGGAATCATGCCCCATCATTGATGTCAGTGGAGGAATAGTGCCCCATCATTGGTGTCAGTGGGAGGAATCGTGCCCCATTATTGGTTTCAGTGGGAGGAATAGTGCCCCAATCATTGGTGTCAGTGGTGAGTGGAATAGTGCCCATCGTTGGTGTCAGTGGGGGGAGGAATAGCGCCCCATCGTTGTGTCAGTGGGGGGAGGAATAGTGCCCCATCGTTGGTGTCAGTGGGGGGAGGAATAGTGCCCCATCGTTTGTGTCAGTGGGGGGAGGAATAGTGCCCCATCGTTGGTGTCAAGTGGGGGAGGAATTGTGCCCCATCGTTGGTGTCCATGGGGGTTGGAATAGTGCCCCATCGTTTGGGGTCAGTAAGGGGAGGAATAGTGCCCCATCGTTGGGGTCAGTGGGGGGAGGAATAGTGCCCCCATCGTTGGTTAAGTGGAACCCACCCCCCCCCACCCCCCCCCCTCCCCCCCCCCCCCCCCCCCAAGAGTGAGGAATAATGCCCCAGTCATTGGAGGTCATGAGGGGAAATAGTGCCCCATCATTGGTGGCAGTGGAGTAATAATGCCCCATCATTATTATCAGTGAAACCAATGATGGGGCAACTATTCCTCCCACTGACACCAATGGCAGTTAACTTGCTGACCCCTGCTCCATCCTAGGTGCGGGCTGCAGCCAGCATACCTGGTTGCATGGCAGCACCACCTGCAAGACACACACTTACCTGGCGATCAGCTGTCCTCCTGCATTCACTCCAGGCTGACTGCTCCCTACACTCGATGTTCGCGCCGCTGCTCGGCTCCACAATCCTCGACGGTGATTGGCCGCCTGTGTTACTTTCCTGATCTAACAGTTCTGGTGCCCAATCACCGGTGAGGAGGTGGGGCTTGCTGAGGTGTGTCATCCCTCCCACACTCTTCATCGCGTTTTTCTTTCACGGCCCAGGCACCAGACGTGTGGACCTCTCTACCCCTCCTTAAGCAGCGCTTCTTGGACTGGATCGTCGTGGGACTGGGGACCGGAGCCAGGTAAGACACAGCATGCCCCCCTGCCGCCCCTGTACGAAAATGTCCCTTTTCCGTTGGAAGGGGGGGCGGTCGGCACGTTCGGCGCCCCCCTAAAAAGTGCCGCCCTAGGCAAACGCCTTGTTTGCCTCACGGCAAATACGCCCCTGCATTTGACATTCTTCCTTTTTCTATTAGCTTAGAAAATGGGCTTTACTCTTTTTTAACATTCATCTTTCATTGTCTTCAGTGGAATTCAGATTTGGAACTCAATCCTTAAGTAAAATTCATAGAATGTTCCTCAAACTGAATCCATTTACATTCAGCTCATCCCCAATCCCACATTATCAAAAGAGGTTTCAAATCTTTGTCAGCAATTGGTGGATTGCTCATCGACTTTGAAAGGCTCCAAGGGATACTGCTTGCCACCAGAGTATTTTTGATAAGGATATACAAATAGTTTTTTTGCATCTACACTCACGGTGGCCACTTTATTAGGTACATCTTGCTATTACCAAGAAAATATACCCCACACCATTACACCACTAGCCTGAACCGTTGATACAAGACAGCCATGGATCCATGTCTTCCTTGCTTTTTATGTCAAAATTCTGTCTCTACCATCTGAATGTCACAGCAACCAGTCTGCTTATTCTCCTCTGACATCAACAAGGCACTTTTGTCCACCACAACAGCTGCTCACTGGATGATTTTTTAGATTTTGGGACCATTCTCTGTAAACCCTAGAGATGATTGTGCGTGAAAAAATCCCAGTAGATCAGCAGTTTTTTTAAATATTTAGACCACCCATCTGGGCACCAACACCATGCAACGTTCAATCAGGTCTCTTAAATTTCCCTTTCTTCCCCATGTCTGATGCTCAGTGTTAACTTCAGAGCAAATCATCTTCACCACGTCTACATGCCTAAATGCACTGTGCTGCCATGTGATTGGCTGATTAGCATTTGTGTTACCAAGCTATTGAACAGGTGTACATAAAGTGGACGGTGAGTGTATTTCTGTGAGTGTTTTTAATTTTTGGTATAGAGATACTTGCAACTGCCATTTCAGGGCACAGTGGCAGTATCTTCTTGAGAGTCCACTATGAGTAAAGCTCCCTGTGGATGATATATATCAGGCCCATGGACTGTCACATGGGGAGGGTACACACATTACACGATCATAATTGGAAGCTCTGCTTTTTTACAGAAATGGAGCAAGGATCTGCAGATTGAGGTGGCTGCAAAGGGCAAGGGTGGGTGAGTATATCTTGCTGGAGGGATGCACAGTCACACTTTGGACTGAATAGGCAGGTGACAATATTTCTTTATTATTATTATACAGTATTTATATAGCGCCAACAGTTTGCTCAGTGCTGTACATTACAATGGGAGACAATACATGAGACAGAACAATAACAATACAATGCGATACACGACGAGGGGTTCGAGGGCCCTGCTACTTGGAGCTTACAAATCTAGTTTTTTCCTAAATGTATTGCATTTTTAAAGTGTGCTTGGGTTGTTTGTATTTATCAATCAATTTTAAAGGGATGTATTCATTTTTGAGTTTTGTTTAGATGGAATTAAAGCCCTGCAATAAAATGTTGTGAAGTGTTAAACTCATTTTCACATTGTACAATCTGGACTGTAAATAATCTCATAGATACACCAACAAGCATGTAGTGCAAGAAACTGCAAAACTGAATACAGATTGGATAGTTTAGTTAGGTCCTCAAATTACATAGCTTTGGGAAATCTGACCAAGGATTGTAGAAAGACCACAAATGCAGTAATATTGTAACATGTGTGGTGATCTTTAGAGTGTTTGTTGTCAGAAGAGACATGCAGAGTCTTTTCTGCCAAAACACCTTTCTGCATGATTTCTAGCACCTGTTTAAATGCACCAATGCAATGTACATGCCCCATGTGCCAGGAACCAGTTAACTTCTGTGTATATCAGTAGTAGCTTCTGAATGGTCAAAAAGGAATGCCATACCTAAAGCTGGCAGAGACCACCATAAGGGGTATGCATGTGCAGAAGCTGAAATGGTTATAGAAGAACAAAATTAATTAAATGATTTTTGACATGAGAGATGGTATGTTTAGATGATAATCTTTTCAGCCTGACAGAAGTAGTATGGAGGAGTGAATACCCCCATTTGACCACTGTATTTGCTTTCTTTAAACACTCTATTAATTGTGATCCCAAATTAAGGAAAGAATAACACATTTTTTAACATATTTGACCTTTAGTGAAAGTGTTTTTAATTTAATTGTAGTTTGTTCTTCATATTTTTCCCCTAGACCAAACTCCTTTAGGCAATGCATTCAGACGAATTTCTGTGAGGCAGTGCAAATGTACAGTACGTAATGCATACATTTGTTGTAATCAAAATTAAATCAGCTTTTAACTCATTCGATTAAAGCAGAATTCTGACCAGTTGCTGTTGGTCACTGTGCTTTACATAGCACTACTGTTTCAACAACCTTACTGAATAAGTATATATTTATTCTAGATATTGCTAAAATGGTTGCCATAGCAATACTTTATAAGCTAAAAGGTGATGAATTTGATATGAAAGTACCACTATATTGTCTTGGGCAAATTACCAGTACACACTCCTTTGCAAATAATTTGTTATATATAAAGAGCAGCCTTCTATTTTAATACTAAATTACTCTAGAAAAACTCTCGCGTAATCTGTTTAGGGAAAAGTAGTGTTCACGAAGCCTAGCTGTCGGACTAATTCTAACACTGAAATAAAGCGATTTGTTGTATTTGCAGCCAGCCTTGCTGCTATGAGTCAATAATTGATATATTAAACCCAGAGGGGTTTACACTATTCCAAGTTGGGCCTCTATGGAACCTAGAAAAATAATGCGTAATTTGTTACAATGCAACTTCTCTTTTTTTTTTATTAATTAAACTAACTTTTCTGAAAGTAGCAACAGCTAAAAGTTGATTTTTGTAATTTCCCATAAAATCTGTTATTTCAAACATCCTACGAGGGACACAGCATTTAGCTGAACTGAAACAATTTTGGGTATATTGCTGCCGACAGAAAGATTTTGGACAACTGGCATAATGAAAAATCAGTTGACCCAAGCTAGGTATAACCTCCATCTCACTCACTCCCAGCATACTTTGGTTTTAATAGAAAAGTAGTACTTAGATGTAGATCGCAAACACTGAAGGTTGAAACCTGGTGTCTTTTATAAAAAAAACTTGATTTTATGGTGAGTACACAAGTCTTTTTTTCTCCATTAATCTAAGACAATTAGAAATCCAAAAGCATTCCAAATGAGGGGTTGGTAGCACAACAAGTAAAACAGAAACTGTCCCAACAAATAAACAGAATAAAACAGGGCAGCTTGCAGCCTAAAGAGCTGCTTCAGTGACCTTATGGCTGGCATCAGAAGAAAGGCCTGAACATTCATCCTTGTAAAATTTAGAAAATGTGTGAAGAGAAGACCAAGTGACTGGCTTGAAAATTTGAGAAACAGATTGCCTGATTCCCCTAAAACCCCAAGAAGCACTTGCCAGGCCAAATATAGATTGTGCCCGGTACTGGAAAAGGTGGAACCTTGGCCTTAAGACCATAGGTTTAAACCATGTATCTGCCTTAGCCACCCAGAAATTGTGAAACAAGAAGCCAGATTCTCGTTTTTATTGGTTCATCATTTGGAATAACAAAAAGAGAGTTCCATCATTTCTATAGGAAACAGTGGCTAAAAGGTAGATGAGTAAAGCAACAACCAATATTCAGGCATTGAAGGCAAATCTCCAACTGATGTACTGATGGATCCAGACAGAGAGATGGATGAACAATGTCCCATGTAAGATGAAAGGCTAGAAAACCACTCTAGGAAGTGTGAAGGAGGCTATAGGACTACCATATCTTTGTGTACGACTATCACAGGGTTCTTTACAGGATAAGGACACCAGATCTGACACACTCCTATTGAAAAATAATGGTGGACATGGGAACGCAACCTTGTGAGTGTGTAGTGTGAAAAATGGGAATGTCCCTAATCGACTTAAAAAGGTGGTTTTTGAGGCGCCTACACAACCAATTTAAAATTTTGTAAGAGTCGGTCACAAGGGTTTAACAGGAGAAGCCATATTATCACATACCTGGTGATGGAGGCCAATAGAGGAGGGACTTCCCGTGCGGCTATGTTCCAGAACTTCCCTGAGAGTGGGACAGTGGGAATTTAGCCACCAAAGTTGCACAGGTCGCCTGTAGGAGTGTTGGTTTTCCACTCAGAAGCACAGCTAGTGCACGGAGATAGGTCTGTAGTTAGGAGGGCCTGTGTGTGGTATTCCAAGCCCTTCCGGGATTTTAGATGTTTTACTGGGTAGTCAGTTCAAGCCAAGGTCAGGTACCATATGGGAATCCAGAGCAGACATATTCAGATAGGATTGCCAAGGTCATACACAGGGGAGCAAGAGAGAGAGAGTATCCATAAGCCAGGCCGAGGTCAGATCAGGGGTAAGCAGGACTAGACAGGTCTAGGAGCAAGCAGAGTCGGTAACAAGGAAATCACGGGTCAAAGTCACAGGAAACAGGAACAGGGCACAGGGGGAGCTAGAGATCATCCAGCAACTTGAGGAAGTGATAA